GAGTCTCTGGTGGGCTGCGCAGAGTCTCTGGTGGGCTGCGCAGAGTCTCTGGTGGGCTGCGCAGAGTCTCTGGTGGGCTGCGCAGAGTCTCTGGTGGGCTGCGCAGAGTCTCTGGTGGGCTGCGCAGAGTCTCTGGTGGGCTGCGCAGAGTCTCTGGTGAGGTTTAACATTTTCGTTTTATTTTTTTAAACTTTTTATTAGTTTTCTTTCCATTTTAATTTATTTTATTATTTTTTACCACTTACCTTTATTGCTATCACACAGGGGATAACAAGCCCCTGTGTGATAGCATTCGGAAGTGACAGGTTCTTTTTATAAGCCTGTCCTCCAGTACAGACTCTGGACATAGGGAACGCACTGGACTCGGGACATAGGGAACGCCCTGGACTCGGGACTTTGCAATACAGTGGACTTAAGGACTAAAATCAGAAGTATACTCACAATTACAAGCCCTCCCCTCATCCCCCCTCCTGCTACCTGATTGCCCACTCTGTCTCTGTGCAGCCTTCTGGGCCCGCACTGAAGCATGTACTGATCATCCAGGGTTAGGCAGGCATATGTACATCTGATACATCTGAAGGGATGCCGGGGATGTCCTGTTTTTTAAAACATCGGCGACAGTGAGAAAAACACCGTTCGAGAGCCCCACAACACAGCGACATACTAGGGCGATTATAAATACCTTACAAGACACCCCGGTATGACCTAATGGATCCATGCTGCTATCCTCGAACAACCTTTGAACTTTATCGTCAATGGCGTCATAAAACAAGAGGTCGAATCATCCTCGTCTCCTAATGCGAAGCCTTCTCCTCTGTCTGCGGCTATCCTCCCCAAAATGGCTGATTTTTGAAGACACCAGGGAGATGCATTTGTAAACAAGGTGTTTAGAAAATCATTACAAAGAAGACTCGGTTTATAGAGAGGTGCATTTTAGGGAAGAATTACATATATGTAGTACTCATGTTCAGCGAACAAGTGTGCACTGTCATGCTAGTTCATGTGAGACTATCCAAGACCCTTACCATCTCTGACATACAACGAATATACGTGTCCTTCATGTATAAATTCATATACCTGGAAAATGAAATACATCTTTGCATTTTAATTTCACTGTTTAAAGTAGAGCAACATAAAAAGCCAAGATGAATGGTAAATAGGATTTCCACACAAAACATGGATTACACAGGGTCTGTAGCTCATTGCATACAGTTAAAAGGAAAACCTCTCTCGCCATAACTATTTTTTTTTTCCATTTTTGATAGAGTAAGGAAGGCTTTAAACCTCTGTCGGCTTTTTTTGCCTGCACAGCACTATGTTTTATAAATGTGCTTTTTTTAAAGGCTAAGTTCACCTTCTGCATCAAACGAGCCATGAAGACAAGGGGTCCCAGTAAGCTTAACCACTTGCTGACCGGGGTGTTTAGACCCCCTTCCTGGCCATGCCATTTTTCAGTATTCAGCGCTGCAGTACTTTGACTGACATTTATTCCGTCATGCAACGCTGTACTGAAATTAATTTTATATAATTTTTTGGGGACAGATAGAGCTTTCTTTTGGTGGTATTTAATCACCACTATGGGTTTTTTTTTTACTATATGATGAAAAAAGTACCGAAAATTTTGAAAAAACCTGTTCTCCCTACGTTATGTTATAAAACATTTATTATTACCCAATTTTTTTGTAAAATATAAAAGACAGGATCACGTCGGGTAAATAGACACCAAACATGTCAAGCTTTAAAATTGCGCGCACCCGCTAAATCGCAAAAAACGACCATAACCAAAATTGACCATAGCCAACGCTTTAAAAGCTTTTACCGCTCATCAGTTAAGTGTTATCAGTGATTAATGGCCCTAGAATTATTGCTCTCACTCCGACGTTCACGGCGTTAGGTAACATGTGCGGCGCAATGGATGTTATCGTCGTTTTCGCACGTAGGCGGACTCGATGCATGTTTGCGTGTGCATGTGGGGGGCGGTGGACTTACATTTTTTTTTATTGCTTTGATATGTAACTTAATTTTTTTTTTTGTGTAACTTTAATTTTTTTAAACCTTTTTTTTTCACTTAATTTTATTGCTATCACATAGGGAGCAAACAAGCTCCCTATGTGATAGCCAATTTGCAGAGACAGGTCCTCTTTATGGAGACATCAGGGGTCTTTAAAACCACTAATGTCATCTAGGGACCCCCAGAGAAGCTGATGAAGCAGAGACCTGCTTCACCAGCTTCTCTCCGCTTTCTGTACCGGAGAGTGACATTGGACTGCGGAAGTGATGTAATACACATCACTTCCTGCATTCCGACGAGGAGGAGGAGATCAAACGGAGCTCGTGTACTGAACTCCGGCCGCAGAGCTGCTGTGCTGGTCCCCGGCTCACACCGGGAACAGCGGAGCTCGGGATCGCCAGCAGCAGCTGTAACGGAGGGGGGCCGCACACCCGCACGCATATTACAAGTGATCGGGCGTCTCTACAGACGCCTGAACGCTTGTATTTAAACAGCCATCGCTGGCTGTTTACATTCAAAGCCAATTTCCCGTTCGTGCACGCCGCCTAGCGCCGGGCACGAGCGGGGCAGGATGGGGCGTTTAAAAACGCCCACCCACATTCAAGAAGCCGATTTCCGGCCGTTTAATTACAACGGCCGGAAAGCAGGTGGTTAAACAGCAAAAAGGTTCCCAGCACACTCACCAGCCAGCATGCAAAAAAACTTGTCTCACCGCTAAGGTTAAAAACAGATGTTTAGATACACGTCATCTGCAGAAAATGTGAAAGCCGCACCGCCTCGCCAAGGCACCTCTATATAGTGCGGTCCTAACTCTAAACTATGAGAGTCTCCATCTTGGAACACATGGGGCAAAAGATTGGGTGCAGGTTTGTCAGGAGGAAGCCCAACCTCCCTTAAAGGCACAGGAACGCACCAGAGACCCAGCACGTCACAACGGCAGCTGAGACACCCCATGTGTCACTGCACCAAATCAGTCAAGCAAAACAAATGGCAAACGCACTCATCAATTTGTTACCAGCTTTACAGCAAGGTGCACATGGAAGGGCTTTATACAGTAACAGCAAAAAGTTTCCCAGCACACTCACCAGCCAGCATGCAAAAAAACTTGTCTCACCACTGAGGTTAAAAACAGAGATTTACATACACGTCTTCTGCAGAAAATGTGTACCTTGCTGTAAAGCTGGTAACAAATTGATGAGTGCATTTGCCATTTGTTTTGCTTGACTGATTTGGTGCAGTGACGCATGGGGAGGTTGGGCTTCCTCCTGACAAACCTGCATCCAATTTGATCTTTTAGTTAGGACCGCACTATATAGAGGTGCCTTGGCGTGGATGTGCGGCTTTCACATTTTCTGCAGATGACGTGTATCTAAACCTCTGTTTTTAACCTTAGCGGTGAGACAAGTTTTTTTTCCATGCTGGCTGGTGAGTGTGCTGGGAAACTTTTTGCTATTACTGTATAAAGCCCTTCCATGTGCACCTTGCTGTAAAGCTGGTAACAAATTGAGGAGTGTGTTTGCCATTTGTTTTGCTTGGCCAGTAAGCTTTAAGTGACATTAAAGCCAAAAAATGTTTTCCTCCCTACAATGTTAATTAAAGCACTTACCTTAAATGATGTCTCTTAATCCGATCTTCTTCTACTTTCCTGTAGTTTTCAGCCTTCTCTCCAGCGGTGCGGCGGGTCTCCGATCCATCGCTGACTCCTCTGTCCTTGCTGGCACTTCCTCTCCCACGGTGTCTGCATGCGGATGCACGCGTCCATATACTTACCTTGCGTCTCTCCTCGCCTCCCGGCCGAAAATCCAAACTGCACATGCGCCCGCCCCAAGATGCTTTACGCCCACCCGAGAATTTTCAGATTTTTGGACGGGAGCGCGCGGGGAAGACACAGGTGAGTTTAAACCGCTTTTAAAGCGCTTAGTAGCAGTAGATATATGCAAAAACACCGGAGGGTTTAGAAACCCTTTAAAAGAGAACTATGGGGTAAGTGTTTTTCCCCATAGTTCTCTTAAGGGTCACGGCGGGACATATGCTAGCGTCCTCCCGTGACCCAAAGCTCAGTATATCGCGAGCTACAGCTCGCGGTATACTAAGACCGCCGCAGCCAGGACGGATCCCGACATTACTGTCGAGATCCACCCAGCTGCGTGAGTGACAGCTGGCTCTGCCTATCTAGAGGCAGAGCCAGCTGTACCTGCCCCCTCCCCCGTCCGTTCCTCCAGTCAGCGTTGGAGGATCGGAGAGGAGGGAATTCCTGCAGGGAGCCGTGACTGACAGTCACGGCTCTCTGCAGGGAGATGATTGAGAAGTGAGTGAACAACGGTATGTGTTCGCTCACTTTCCGATCTATTGAGCCAACGTGTGACAGTTTTTTTGTCACCTGTCGGCTCGAACTATAAAGATGAGTGATTTTCTACTATGCAGTGTGTCATTATGTTTAAAGGATTTCTAACGTCCCAGCATATACTATCCTGTTATCACATCGGCATTGTAATAGGAATACATACTAGAGTTGTTTCTGAAAATACAATCAAAACTTACTTTACTTTACACCAGCGGCTGCGCTACAACGCACAACACAACGTACTACACGGCACAGTGCCAATGCACGGTGTGGTATGATGTGCTTGCACCGCCTTGCAGCCTGAAAAAAAGTACTGCATTTAGTACTTTTCTTTCAGCGCACACCACCGCAATGCAGAGGTCTGAACTGTGCGCATCCGTGACAAGGCTATTGTCTTGTCTTGTCTTGCATTGGGGCTGCACTTTAAAGAAAACTACCTACGCAGCCCCAATGCACTTGGTGTGAATCCAGCCTTATGTAGCGAGCGCTGTCTTCTGTCTGCACAACATTTTCCACAACTTCCTGGATTTCTTTTTGCACCTTTTCCCCTGCTGCCTGATGTGATGCAATTTCTCAAGACTACATATCCCATCACAAATTGCTCCAGCAAGCATTATATGATGGACTTTCCTGTGTTCCCTATGAGAGAGGCGGAAATAGTTGAGTTGTAGCTCAAAGAGCATGCTTTGTGAGAGTGGTGACACAAGGAAGTGAATATTTCACAGAGCTGAGTAAAATCATGTCACTGCAATGAGGAAGTCCATCCTATGAGCATCTTCTATAAATACAATTATAAACTTCTAGATCAATAAGTTTATTAGGAGTCGGACAGAACTTATGAAAATTCAATATAGAAATACATATTTATTAGTTTCTGACCATAGAAACCTTTTATGGTAAATTTGATACCTTTATTCTTTTGCTGGCACCCCACTAGTCTGGCCAAAATACTCCCATGATGTTTTCATGCATTGCTGCGACAGGGGAAAAGATGCATGGCTTTGGAACACAGATTCTCCTACTTCTGGGATGCTGGGTGTGTTCTGGAGACTAACTATGGCATGGACATGAAATAGGGTTGCCACCTTTTCTTCAAGTGAAACCCGAACACTCTAGTGCCGCATGTGGCAATTTAAAAAAAAATATTTTAGATTATAGGAGGAGAGAGCGAAGAGAGGCAGCCAGGGGAGGGAGTAAGGATACCAGCTACCGGGGACTACAAATCTCAGCAATACATTATACAGCAATACAAAATAAACTGTGTTGTTCTGGGTTGGCGCCCTGATGTCTCCAGGTGGTCTGTGCGGGCTCTCAGGTGGGCTGTGCAACTCTCAGGTGGGCTGTCTGGGCTATGGTGTCTCACCAGGGTTCCACAGGCGGGCAACATGGTGTCAGGGAGCCGGAGGAGGAGGGGCAATCACAGATGCTGCTGCCAAAGTCCTCTGCAAGCGCGATCTCGGACAGCTGCATCTGCTTAAAACCTGGATCTTTCTCTGAGCTGCGGGCACTGTGTAAACAGTCACAGGCTGCCTGCAGCTCAGAGAAAGATCCGGTTTCGGGCTGATGCGGCTGCCCAAGATCGCGCTTGCCAAAGACCTCGGCAGCCGCATCTGTCAGAAAATGTAAAGTGCCGCCACTGAGTGTCATGTGTCCGGGTGCCCGCTTATTGCTCCCACATAGTCTACATACCCACAGGGTACACACTATACACACTGTCCACACACAGGGTACACGCTATACACAATGTCTACGCTATACACACACCATCCACGCTAGACATGTGCGATTCGCTTCGTTCCGAATCAAAATTTGGACGAAATTTCAGAGATTCAGATGTATCCGAATTACAGAAATAACGAATGCAAACGAATCCGAATTTCCGATTCCGAAATTCGTTAGCGGTAGTCATAATACTTTTCATATGACACCTCGGCTCACAGACCCAAATGGCATTATGGGAGTTCCCGAATGCTATGTAGTATTTGACAGCTGAGCATGTCAAATGGGTGGAGCTCGCTCGCACGTTCGAGCAGGAATGTCATTTTGCGGCGAGTTTTCGTCGGGTTCGGACGCTCGTCGTGCGGCGGGACTTTTTTTATTTCAGCGGGTCGGCGGGCGACCCGATGTCTCTTTGTTTTTTTTCAATTAAAGGATTTTATCAAAAGTCTGGACTTTTTAATAACTATTCGATTTAACCCTTTATTGAATGGGTAGGGGTACAAGTACCCTTACTCATTCACAAGGGAGGGTGGCATCTGGGTTTACCCATAATTAAATGGGTACCCCGATGCAAAAAAGGCCCCCTTGCCCGTAGACCCCCACAACCGCCAGGTCAGGGTTGTGGGGAAGAGGCCCTTGTCCCCATCGGCAGGGGGACACCCACCCAATGCCGAGGGCACGTGGCCCGATAAGGCGCAGGGAGGGGCGCTCGATTGTCCCTTTCCTGCCCTGCCAGGCCAGTGCTCGGGTCAAGGGTCTGGTAGGAATGTTAGGGGGGATCCCACGTTTCCCCCCCCCATTTTTTGGGCTGAGATTCCCCTTTAAAATTCCTACCAGACCTAAAGGGCTTGGTATGGATTTGGGGGGGGACCCCACGCACTTTTTTTGTTTTAACTTGGGGGGGTCCCTCCTAACATTCCTACTAGACCTAAAGGGGCTGGTATAAATTGGGGGGAACCTCACGCTTTTTTTTTTCCTCTTCTGCAGACTGTAAAAAAAAAAAAAAATTCCCCCCCAATGTCACTTTGCTGCAACGAAAACGAAACGGAAGTTCGTCCAGACTACCGCTAACAAATTTTGTCCGAATCCCAAAACAAATTGAATTTCGCACCCAATTTTTTGGCGGTGCACATGTCTATGCACACAATGTCCACACACAGGGTACATGCTATACACACAATGTCCACACACAGGGTACACGCTATACACACACCATCCAAACACAGGGTACAGGCTATACACACACCATCCAAACACAGGGTACACGCTATACACACACAGGGTACATACTATACACACCATCCACACACAGGGTACACGCTATACACACCATCCACACACAGGGTACACGATATACACACCCCGTCCACACATAGGTACACGCTGTACACACCGTGCACACACAGGTTACATGCTATACACACCAACCACAGCATCCACACACAGCGGGGGCGTCCCGAGGTTGGGTGACACCTGGAGCGGTAACCGTGTGTTCCCCCGCCGAGACGTCACCCTGCATGCGTATCGCGCACGTGCGGCAGTATTCTGATACCTGACGGCGGCCATCTTGGTGATGGACGCCGTCAGAGAGAGAGAAGGGGACAGTCACCCGGCGGGTCCCCTCCTCTCTCCTGATACTGTTGGGCGTTCGGTCCATGACCGAGCTCCCGACTTTTCCAATGGTGTCACCCGGGTGCGGGCCGCACCCCCCTTGTGACGCCACTGACACACAGCCTACACCATACACATCGTCAACTCCACAGACAACCCACACCATACACAGAGTCGACTCCACATGCAACCCACACCATACACAGAGTCGACTCCACATGCAACCCACACCATACACACCGTCGACTCCACATGCAACCCACCCCATACACACCGTCGACTCCACATGCAACCCACACCATACACAGAGTCGACTCCACATGCAACCCACACCATACACACCGTCGACTGCACATGCAACCCACACCATACACACCGTCGACTCCACATGCAACCCACACCATACACACCGTCGACTCCACGTGCAACCCACACCATACACACCCGGAGCAGTTACCGGGTGTCACCCCGCCGAGACGTAACGCGCGGCGCTCCTCTGATACCTGTCGGTGGCCATCTTGGTGATGGATGCCGGCAGAGAGAGGAGGGGACAGTCACCCAGCGGGATTAGGTATGCCGCCGGGTCCCCTCCTCTCTCCTGATACTGTAGGACGTTCGGTCCATGACCGAGCGCCTGACTTTTCAGAGGGGGTTGACACCAAAATGACTGTCAGTCATTTTGGTGTCAACCCTCCAATGGTGTCACCCGGGTGCGGGCTGCACCCCCCTTGTGACGTCACTGCCATCTACTCCACATACAACCCACACCATACACACTGTCAGTACACAGCAGACACATAATGCTCACACTTTACAAAGACTTTCCATCATTGTGCTCCAGCTCCCCATCATTGTGCTCCGGCTCTCAGTCATTGGGCTCTGTCTCCTCATCGTTGTGCTCACACTCTCCATCTTTGGGCTCCGTCTCTCCGTCATTGGGCTCCGGCTTGCCATGGTTGTGCTCAGACACTCCATCATTGTGATGTGGCTCTAGATCTGGATCTTCCTCTGAGCTGCAGGCACCTGTAAACAAGCACAGGCTGCCCGCAGCTCAGCGGAAGATCCGGTTTCAGACCGATGCGGCTGTCCGCAATTGCCCTTGCCAGGACCTCGGCAGCCGCATCTGCCAGAAAATGTAAAGTGCCAGTGTCGGCACTGAGTATCTTGTGTCCGTGTGCCCGCTGGCTGGACACCCGGACACAAGACTCCAAAACCGGACTATCCGGGTGAAAACCGGATGGGTGGCAACCCTGGCATGAAAACAGGAGGCGTAGGCCTGAAGGTATGGAGATTCCATTAATGGTTTTGACACACTGCACAATAGATTTTAACCTATTTATGCAAAAGGTGAACTTAGCCTCTGAGCTTCCTCGTCTATGCTGACATCTTCTCCCTTGCTTTATGCGTGTTCAGCATCTTTGGCCACATCTTAATTAGCTGTCCCGTGATGACATACCTTCCACACATAGGAGTTCTTTCATCCAGAGGCCAGGATTGTACATTTTGCTGTGCATGTGAACTCAATGCACACACAGAAGAAGCATGCACACAGGAAGGTAAGAAGCCTTGGAATTGCAGGCGGTACATTACATAAAAATAAATACAAACGCAGACACCAACATTCTTTGGAATAAATTGGCCACGGCTCTTTTATTGGTTTAAAACATTAACTGAATTTAATCAAACTGTTAATAGCTTAAATACCAACACCAGTTAACCACTTGCTGACCAGGGTGTTAAACCCCCTTCCCATCCAGGCCATTTTTCAGTGTTCAGCGCTGCAGTACTTTGACTGATGTTTATTCCATCATGCAATGCTGTACTGAAACAAATGTTATACCATTTTTTGGGGACACATAGAGCTTTCGTTTGTGTTATTTAATCACCACTGGGGTTTTTATTTTTTACTATAAAACAAAAAAAGTACCCTAAATTTTGAAAAAAAAACCTGTTTCCTTTTAAAATGTTATGGAACATTTATTAGCACCCCAATTTTTTGGTAAAATATAAAAGTTGGGGTCACGTCGGGTAAATAGACACCAAACATGTGAAGCCTTAAAATTGTGCACGCCCGTGAAATCGCAGAAAACGACCCCACCTAAAATTGGCCATAGGCAACACTTTTACTGCTCATCAGTTTAGTGTTATCAGTGATTAATGGCCCTAAAATTATTGCTCGCACTCCGACGTTCACGGCGATATGTAACATGTGCGGCACAATAGGCGGAATCGTCGTTTTCATGCGTTGGCGCACCCGACGCATGTTTGCGTGTGTTTGTTGGGGGGACTTTGTTTTATTTTACTTTTTTTTTCATTTGTGACAATTTTTTTTAGCTTCTTTATTTTTTATGCTTTAGTTTTTTTTACACAACTTTATTGCTATCACATAGAGGACTAAGAAATCCCCTGTGTGGTAGCCAATTCACATGACAGGTCATCTTTATGGAGCATCGGGGAGGGAGCCCGATCGCTTGAATGTAAACGGCCATTGCTGGCTGTTTACATTTCTGACTTTCCCCACTCGTGTGCCTGCTGGGCGCCGTGCACGAGCAGGGGAAGGGGAAGGACGCCTAGAGACGCCCTCCCGCTCCTATAAGGCTCCCGTCCGGCCGTTCAGGAACGGCAAATGGTTAAACCAGAATGTATATTGCTCAGTCGTTAAAACTCAAGCAATATATAATCAATCATAAACCAGGCCTAAAGTCCCCCTCCTGGAGAAGGTGACACTTCCAAAAAAAACACAGAAGGATTTTCCCGCCAAAATGCTAAACAGGTGAGCCTTAAAGGGAAAGCACACTTTAATTTGTGAGATAATTTTTTTTTTAATTATTATTATTATTATGAAGCAGACCTCTGCTTCATCAGCTTCTTTGGGGTCATTACGTGACATTAGGGGTCTCCATAAAAGGGACCTGTCACATTATATTTGCTATTACGTAGGGGGCTTGTTAGCCCCCCTATGTGATAGCAATAAAGCTGAGTGTAAAAAAAAATGGTAAAAATTAAAGTAATAAACAAAATTAAAAATATTTTTTTTTAAGTCTCCCGCCCTTCACATACAATGCAAACACGCGTCGGATGCGCCTACGTGCAAAAACGAAAAATTGAGCGACACATTTTACATATCGTCATGAGCGTCGGAGTGCGAGCAATAATTCTAGGGCCATTAATCAATCACTGTTAGCACTAAACTGATGAGCAGTAACCTAAAAATACGTGTTTGATATGTACGCAAATACCGTGCAACATAAAAAAATTGCAACTAGCATATTTTTATTCTACAGGGCCTCTGCTTTCAGAAAATATATTGTTTGGGG